ATGCCGTCCTTGCATCAGGGACCCTCGCATACTTTCCACACTCGCCGGGCCATACGAGTGCGCGTCGGCTCCCGCGGACGCCGTAGCATTGATTCGGAATTCATATGGCATATTGAACATTGGTGATGTGACTTGGGTGTTCGTAGGCCGGCCCGTCACGAAGGCCTGTCACCTGCTTTCGAGTGTCCGCGTTCGGCTCAGCCCGCAGGAGCGGGCAGTTTCCAGTGGCACCACGTGGAGGAGCGGACTTCACCACCCGGTATCGGCTGCCGTATCAACCAATAATAGGTTGGTTACGAAGAAAGTAACCAGTGGTAGAAAACCCTACGGGTGAGCTCTTTCCATGCCTCCTGACAACTCCCCGCCTGATTGCAACGATATCAACTGGGCTAAAATAGTCGTTAATTGAAGAAACGAGAATTATGAATTAGAGAAGTCAAATAACTTGTGCAATGATTGCCTTGTTTCAGATGGGAGACCAGCTTGTTGAAGAGTTTTGGATTGCTGAAGGCTACGAGAAGCCGAAGGAGGCCGTCTTACCCACGAACGTCTCCCAGCGGCGATTATGGGAACTAATGGAATACCCGGATAGTTCCCTTGCTGCTCGGATCATCGCCTTCATCTCAATCTTCGTCATAATAATGTCAGTCTGTCATTGTATCAACAGCCAATCGGCCCACATTATCCTGCAATTCTTACATTTCAGTTCGATAGTGTCGTTTTGTTGGGAGACGGTTCCTTCTGGAGATGTCCGCGAAGTCAGTTTATCATCGAATATGACATCTTCGGAAAAGGAGGAGGGCAGGCCGCCTTGGAATGCGTTCTTCTGGCTGGAACTCCTGTGTATTGTCTGGTTTACTTTGGGTTCGTTATTGTCCTGTATTTTCTCGATATCTTTTTCTCTGGTAGGCTACAGTCATTTGTTTTTTTTCAGAGCTTGCACTTCGATTTATCAGTTGTCCATCGAAGGTAACTTTCTTGATGTCGTTCCTTAATATAATCGACTTCGTGGCGATCGCTCCATTCTTCGTGAATCTTATCTGGTGGGCTTCTTCGTGCTATTGCTGATGTTTTCAAAAACTAAGAGCTAAGATAATTCCAACCACATATACGAGTTAATCGGCCTCCTTCATAAAGGAAGCTTTTCCGAGTGCTATACTCAGAAAACTGCTACATATTTCAGACAGCTGGGGAGAGAGCCTCTTCCGCTCGACGGCATATTTTTGGGGGCAAACTTTGAAAGGTCGTGGGTGTAACGGAAAGGGGCTTGCCAAAGGGAAATTTTTCGTTGACGCTTCAGGCAAAATCCTGTACAACGTGTTGGAGAGTTTTAAGTTACCCTGTCATGAACGTTTCCTGATCTTTACTATTAGGTTGTTCGGAAAGAAATGCGCGTTGAAGCGCGTTGAATTTGTCCATTTATTTCTCTCCTACTATAGAAGATTTTTCAAAACAGTTTTGTCTATTAGAAAGAGATTTTTATTGTGCATCTTTTGATATATTTTTGTCTGTCTTTTTTTTTTGAAGAAAAATATTGGATAGAGTGGTGCTCGCACCAGACTGTAGCGACGCACATGTCATGGCAACACGAAAGTACACTGGCCTGGATTCTTCTTCGTTCGCATCCTCAAGAACAGCGGTTCTTAGACTACTATTTGTTCTAATGAGTCATTAGGATCTGCTAGGAAATGATACGCGAGAAGACAGGTTGGTCTAGACCGCGATGGACACTTCCAAAGCTGACTCCGATAACCTGTATATTATACAGAGGCGAAAAGTGATGCTCTGCAGTTTGGTGAAAGCAAATGGTTTGATGTACTTTGAAGTACTGGATTCGGGTCAAAGAGTTACGGCGGGCACCTACAAAGATCAATTGAACCGCGTGGATTTAGCACTGCGTCGTCAAGGTGTCGAACGAGCGTCGGACAAATTCCTCCACGACAACGCTCGTCCACATGTCGCGAAAATCACTTTGGAAAAAATTGAGGAATTGGGCTGGGAAGTCCTGCCTCATCCGCCATACAGCCCAGACCTGGCACCATCCGATTACCATCTGTTCCGGTCGATGCAGCACGTCCCCTGGCCGAGAGAAGTTCACAAACCGCGAAGAAGTCCAACTCTGGGTGTCCAACTACTTTGAGTCGCAGCCGGCCGAGTTCTTCGAAAGAGGAATCCATTCTTTGCATAAACGTTGGCGGCAAGTCATTGATAGCAATGGAGATCATCTTTTGAATTGATCTTGTTCAATTTCTTTTTAATAAAAAGTTTTTTAGATTTAAACACGCCTCTCTTTGCTTTCTGCTTCTTTTAGACAATCAAAGACAAAGAATACATATTTTTTCATTTAATACTGTATGACTACAACCAGTAGAAAGGGGCACTATTTACCCTTTACTGCCCCAGTCATCCGAAATCAGGCCAGTTCCTGACCGACTTTTTTCTCCGTGGGCAGATTTTGCTCAAATGTTGTCTCCTGGGGTAGTTTGACCTCCAGAATACGAATATCACATTCGCTCAGCCCGAAACTTCCTGGCGCCCGCGCCACAGGCGCCAATGATTTGGGGTATTTTGGCGCCGGTGCCCGTGGTGCGGGCGCCAGGAGGTTTCGGGTTGAGCGGATGTGATATTCGTGTTCAGGGGGTCAAACTACCCCTGAACACGAATATTAGCGAATATTAGGTAACAAGTTTTCAGCGAATTTGGTGATTTCGAGTATTTTGGCGCCGGCGCCCGTGGCGCGGGCGCCAGGAGGTTTCGGGTCAAGCGGATGCGATATTCGTGTTCGAACTACCCCTGGAGCCAAGTTTTCAGCAAATTCTGCCCACGGAGAAAAAAGTCGGTCAGGAACTGGCCTGATTTCGGATGGCTGGGGCAGTAAAGGGTAAATAGTGCCGAAAGGAATGATAGTTTCTAAGCAGGGTATGTGTAGCTAGTTCTTGAGGACTGGCCCAAAAACGGTCATCCTTCAACTCCACCGTAAGCCATCATTCCGCTTCAGAATGGCCGCTTTCCGCGTCCTAGCAGTTGCGGAAAATAGGGATATGGTGACCCTGAGAGTTTAGCGTATCATTGATTAGTACAGTTTCTCCTCATCACAGTTTCAGAACTTGCAAAAAAAGAACAAAAAATCGGAGTGAGGGCTAAGAACAAAAAATCGGAGTGAGGGCTTAGTCGACTTCCACTTATATCACACTGCAAAATCCTCATATTTCCAGGCTCGACACTAACAAATCGAGTGGTTCGATGTCATTTGCAGTACTCCGAGTTCTTCGGCTCGTGCGAGTGTTCCGGATATTTAAACTGAGCAGGTATCCATTTATAATCGTAGATCATCCAAGAAGGTCTATTCCTCTGCATGTTAATGTTCTATCATTCTCTCAGCGTAGTGGATAGCGTACTCCCGGTCAGCGGTAGATGCAGGTTTAGGTCCCGCCTGGCATACGACTTTTTCCTTAACTAAACACTCCCCCGATGTACTTTTTAGGACTCCTTTCTTCTCGTTTCTTGTTGAGCTGCGTAAGATGTAAGATAGAAAAACACAAAGTTGCTCTACGAACGGGTGGAAGGAATTAGACTGACGATGAGCTGTGCCCATGAGGCCTGTGGATGACTGCTCCCGAAGCATATAACAATAAAATACTTTCGAATAGAGCACCAACTCGGGGTGAAACTCAAGTTCAGGATGCTCCAAAGGCTATTCACTATTGGGTAACGCACGCTTCTCCCTACTCGACGTGACAGTATCAACTCATCAGAGGGTTCTGGAACAGCAGATCCTGCAAATACTGCAAAAATCTCTACTTTCGTCCGTACTAATGAGCTCCTACTGCACGTACATACGTTTTACCCCGCAATATTGCGCCTATGTCCTAGCCTAAAGAAACTATCAACGGTTTCAAGCTGTCATTGTTTGATAACTGCTGTTTAACGCCGCAGTACGCGATCCGAAAGCTATCACAAGAATGCTGAGTTATGGGCAAAAGTCGGACCACGGACGGGATTCGAACCCGCATCTTCTGCTTACCGGGCAGTTGCGTTCCCTATTACGCTACCGGGGCCACTTTTGACCACTCAGCTCAACGGTCTCCGAAATTTTGGGCGGAATCAGTATGCGTCGCAAAACCCAAAAGCTGTTTGAGTACATTCACTGCTCGTAAATTCGATAATTCGAGTGAACTTTGTTGTTTATCATCCTGGACTATTCGCTACTTACGAGCTCTGGTACAGGCATTCGGCCGGTCTGCAAATTCTTGGCAAGACATTCCGAGCATCGGTGCAAGAGTTCTGTTTGCTCATCTTCTTCATGGCAATCGCTCTGGTGCTGTTCTCGTCAGGAATGTATTTTGCTGAGCAGGGAGAGCCGAATTCGAAATTCACCTCAATACCTGCATCATTCTGGTTTGTACTGGTGAGTTTCAAATGTACCCATCACCCGATGGACTTTCATAGGTCTTTAATTCACTTCATTGAAGAAGTGACCTACATGTGTTCAGCTGCAAAATCTAATTCGCAGTAATACACTCCTTATCCCTGAGCCAGAGTAGGCGTGGCATTTGAACATGGCACGGAACTGGTTACTCGTGGAATATTCCAGTCTGGGACAACTGTCATCTTGTTCTGTGTTGGACAGAGACACGACAACAATTGTGTCAAGATGAAAATATCTCACCAGAAGCATAGACACCTTCAGGTTAAGTTGAAACATGCGGCCACGCCTACCCGATCTCAGGGATTTCGAGTAACTTACTGTAGATTAGAGCGACCATATCACAGTCGGGAGGTTCCATTATGAATGGCGATCACCGCGCGATGTCAGCTCGATCCCGTCCAAGCCGCTCGTGGTGCACTCAGGGCATGCCCTGGCGTCAGAACAAATTTTGGCTAAATACACCCTCCCCCTACAAAGCTTGTGCTTCGGTGCGACCTCCCCCCTCCTCCCACGCAACTGACCAACCGTGTTATCAAATTTTCCTCAAACCGGCTCTGCTAATGCCTAATGCACGCTGTCGCACGTATCCCTTTCTTTTTATTTTCATTGCGACTCATTGTTCATTTTTTTCAATTTCTACCGTTTCAGGCGCACAGTAATCCCCACCACCCCATCCCAACTTGGCCTCTTAACCAATTTTATCAAATGATATTACCTGTCCCCTCTATCAATGTCCCTATCACTACCACTGTGCTTTGGTAGTGGAAAAGTTCTACCACGTAAACGAAAACAGCGACAGCAACGTTTATTACAAGCCCCTGTCAGTTACTACTATACTTTTCTATCACCCACCCACAATGCCCCCATCTCATCCTCTATATCATTTGGCCACACTCAGCGGATTCCGGCGCTGTGAATACGATGACCTTACCCTTCCAATGCCCCTAATCAAATCTTATAACCTTTCGAAAGTTTTTGTCACCCACCAGTAATTTTCCTGTTCCATATACACCGGAGATTATGCGGACCAGAGTCTCCACTTTTGACGGACCCCCTCCCGCACTTCTACATGAATTTTGTGATACAGACATAGGCACACTTGGCGGATTACATACAGTGTGGTAGTAGGATAGTGTTGTTGAGCAGGAAGGGGTAAACACCGCTCCATTATAGGAATAATCTTTTTGCTGCTTAGCCAACTATGTGAGGGGGAAGGTATATGGCACGCATGAATTACGAGTTATTGTTGTAATAATCAGCTTGCGAACAAAATTTCTCTCAGACGAGGTAGGTACGATCCATTCCTCTCCAGCGGTTTCCGTCGGAGATTCTTCAACGTAAGTCATGTCCTCGAATCACTGCGACGACACGAGGCTCTTTTCGAAGTATGCTAGAGCTATTCCGTTGCGCTTTGGAGAAATGATCTGAGAATCGCCTAGCTGCGACCGCACTCCTTCACAAATTGCTGGACCGCTAATAAGGCCCTAAGAAGCTGCCGTTCATGTATCTGAACTAACAGTTACAGTGACTCAACGATTAGCGGTGGATTATGGCTGCTTAATTCAAAAATTCCCACGAATGAGTCGCCTGACTCGAAAGCTATGAAAATGATCCGCGTCAGAGCACTTTCTGTCGTTATAGAATGTTTCTGCACACAATTTCTCCTACTTTCTCCCCCCCCCTCCCTTCGCCCACCTGGGGATCCTCAAGTTACGGCGTGCCCTACCAAGGTACTTTTAGAAGGTTTCAATGCGATCATGACAATGGAGCCTCCCATCATACAGGCGGTAACTCAAAAACCTGAAGTTATTTTCTTTCTCTGGAGTTCAAGTTCTTCTAATTGCTCTTCTCACAGGTGGACTATGAACTGGACGCGAGTAAGCCAGAGTACTACTAATAATGTGTTGTGACTAAAAACAGTGTCACAAAGTGTCTTAGTGATTGTGATTGTGGTGTGGATCGCTGTGTAGTTAATATATTACTATTATGGACAATTAACAATGATCGACAATTATTCAGATACGGCGATCTCGTTCCCCTAAGCCCTCATGGCAAGATCGTAGGGTCAATGTGTGCTCTGATCGGAGTGCTAACGTTGGCATTACCTGTCCCGATCATTGTACGTCGATTTTTTTTGTTTTGTCTACATTTCCGGAGATCTGAGTGTTTTCTGAGTGTTTCGTTGTAGGTGGCAACTTCTAAAAACATTCTATTCGGAACACGAGATCACTGGCGACCAATACGCACTGCTGGTAAGGATTTGGAGAGTGCAGAGACGGCTGACGACGACAGCTGACTACCGGTGGGACTGCGACCCACTGTGAATAGCGAGGTACGAGGCCGTTCCCATTCTTCTTGGTTTCTTTCCTCTTTATCTTTATTTCCACAATGTTCCAAAAAGGACTAGATTCTAGTAGTGCAGGCAGCACAATCACTTCCAAATAGCCGGGACCATACCAAGCCCTAGTTTTTTTTTTCGTGTCGCAAGATGTCTAGGCACTTAGGCGCAGGGTCGCGCGTTGAGCTGCGCGCGCGTCACGTACCACGCGACCAGCTGTTTGCAGCCTGGTTTGAGCCATTCTTCCGTCCCTAAGTTTCTACGTTTTTTGAGTGCCTTTGAGTTACGTGTTCCCTTCTCTTCACAAGTAATTGTGATTCTACCTGATTTTTGCGGAACAATCAAACAATTCAACAAAGACGAGTTGACCAATAAACCTAAAAAGTCGCCAAAAACACGCTTCTACAAAAACAAAAAATCCACTGTCCTAATACAACTCCTAAAGGTAATAGCACCTTACCTTAAAAAAATAATAGAAAGGTACAGTGAATATTAGGGAAGAAAATGGTTAAACCAGGCTGGAAATGTTGATCGCCACGGTCGTGACGAGCCGCAGCCGCGTCGCGACCCTTTGGCCGCCTAATCAACTGCCCGGATGACGTAGGCGATATCCCAAACCTCTGTCGTTTGCTCTAGCACACGTTAGCGGGGCCCCACCGAATTGCAATCGTTAAACCCCATTCAACTCATTTCTGCTGATTAAAAGTAGGATAAGCACCTTACGCTCACCTCTCTCACCGTACCTCTCTCGACCTGTGTGGTCAATGCCTTCAACTTCTATTATACCAGGCCACGTGTACCGAGCAATTTTCGCCGTCGCGATGGGAACTGACATCAGCAATTGGCCGCACGAAATGGAGTAAGGACGAGTGGCATGATGGACTGATTTGAGTGTCCCTTCACATACACCCTGGGAGCCTGTAGTGATGACAGCGATACAATTTTCATGAGGTTTCGCACGAAACCAACGATCCCTGGCAGCCGGAGGCGGGTTCATTCTGCCCCTCCTGACATCGCCCGAATGACTGCGGCGATATCAGCTACATAATCTATGCTCAGTAGATATTTTCAGTCCGAAGAGCTCTGCTCCTGTCATTCTCAGAACATAGTGAGTTATTTGATAGAAATAGTAGTCTTTGCATCCACCTCATTTGGACAAAGGGAAACAACTACGAGAAGGCTCACCAGGAAAGGATGGTTGGTCGAAGTGGCCATTCGAAATGAGATGTATACTGCCCGATGGGCCCTTGAACGCTGATTACTGCCCTCCATATCTGCTAAACGATTCCCTGGACAAAGTTATGCAGGATTTTGACCAGGTCACACCCATTTCCAGCATGTATGTGAGGCACACCAAAACCCCCAAATTTGCTAAAATCTGGAATTAGAGGTGGTCTGGTGCTCTGGAAATCATCACTGCAGGTATTTTTCATAAAAATGTCTTGTTCACATTCTGGAGGGGCAGGGTGTGCAGGACCTGCAACTCCCTTGGCAAGCGTTTTTACGCCGAACGAGTGTGATATTCGTGTTCTGGGGCTCAAATTAGCCCTAGAGGCAAGTTTTCAACCAAATCTGAGATTTCGACCTATTTTCGATACAGTGGGGTAACCATGGGCAACGAATTCCTTAAGGTCGCTGACACTATCGCCGATCAAAATCTCTGTGAGCAATGGAGCTTTTCCGCTGAATCTCAGTCCTTGTTGGTTACTGACGGCCCTGATCACAACCACGACATTCACTTTTGGCTTCCATGCCATTTGGAATCAGTTTGGCGACACAACACACCGCAGCGATTAATGCCGCCGAACCAATTATCAAGAGCATCTTTCAGGAGTGTTCCAGAATGGCTCCATTCCTTCAGAAACAACATTTTTTGGTAAGATCAGGTCTCCTAACCCCGCAAAAGTGCTTTAGGATGTGCAGGGAGCATTTTTGAGAAAATGCAAAACGACGACTTCAGTAGAGATCGCTTATCCACTACCCTATTGAGGCACACCCGCAATGAGCGGGCCCGTCATTTATATACTAGCATTGGTGGTCTCGAGCAGTGATCTGCTCAACAAGCCTCCATAATTCTGCTCGGAGAATCGTTTAGCAGATTTGGAGGGCAGATTTGAAATCAGTGTCCAAAGACGCATCAGCCGGTATACATCTCATTTCAAATGGCCACTTCGACCAACCATCCTTTCCTGGTCAGCGCAAAAAAAGGTGTAGTTTCGCAAAACTGGGAGCGTACATGAAGGCATCGTCGACGGTAACGTTGATCATTCTTATAAATGGTTGAGTACGAATGCTGCAGTTTACACTCAAATTTGTGAAGGAAATTAATTTTTCATAGAGGAAAA